GGGGCAGCCCCGGGGGGGCAGGGGCCGGGGCAGCCCCCCCATGGTGTGGGCCCTGGGGCAGCCCCACAGGAGGGGGGCAGCCCCCATGGCGGGGCGTTGGGGTGGGGGGCGCAGGGCCCCCGCGTGCCCCGTAGCCCCCGCGGCGGCGGCGGGGCGGCACCTTCCGTGCTGCCGCCCTCCTCCCGCGGGTCTGAGCAGGGCAGGTAGCGCCCTGGAGCAAGGGGGTGTCTGTGCGTGTGTGTGCAACGGGCGGCAGAGCTGCCCGCAGTCCGCGAGGCCTCGACGTTCCCGCAGCGCAGACGTTGTCATTCCTGCCTGGCAGCCCCGCCGGCAGGGCCTGAGGGAAGCTCTGCGCGTGCCCGGGAGGCGAGCGCGGGACCCCCACGGAACGGGAGGCCCACGGAGCTCCCCGCTTCTCCCGCACCCGCTTTCTGGGCACGGCTCGTGCCCGACTGCTTCATCCGCCAGCAGTTACCGTTGGAATTCTTGTTGTGGCCTTTGGAGCCGGCTCTGCTCCGCCTTGCCGGCCCCGTGAGGTGGGGAAGCATCAGCTGCAGGGGTGTGGAGGGGCAGAGCCCTTCCAAAAACGCTCGTGCTTACGGTTAAATGGGCTTCTCCAGGTCGCTACTGCATCCCTGTAAGGATTCCCACTTCCAGCTATGGATTTTCTGTCTGGGAGCGAGTGTTCCTGTTCCCACGTGCTGCTGGGTGCTGCAGGCTCTGCAGGGAATGAAATGGGGAAGTTCAGTGTCTGGGAAGCTGTGCTCGTTCCGCAGCATGGAAAACCAGCAGCATGTTGTCCCTGGGGGAATTGGGGATGAGAGAACTATTTCTGGAAGGGGCAGGGCGATTGCTCCAGAGGATTATTCAGATGGTGGAAATATGAGGGGAAAACGGAGCAGAATGCGGCCTCTGAGCGCTGCTGTTTTCAAAGTAAAATTGGTGGCCCGGGGTGGCTCGTGCTGCTTGTCGGGTGCCGAGTCTGGAGGCTGCGGGAGCGGCGCGGGGAAGGTGCTGCCTTCCCGGTGATGTCAGGCGAGGGAGGCTGCTAAATTAGGTGCCTCTGAAGAAGCGCAAGGGACGGACAAATTGCCTAGCCTGTGAGGCTGGGAAAGCCGCGTTCCTGTGTAAATCACTCCTTCCCCCGGCTGTTTTAGTGGTGTGTTTGAAATGCTAAAAGTTCCCGAATGTCAACCTCACGCCGAAGGCGCTGTCGTGTTGTTGTAGTGTCCTCTACCATCAGCCTCGTTCCTCCTTCCCAAATTTTGTTGCAGAAGTGACGGGCGCTGGAAATCAGCCGTGAATAACAGAAGTGCAGAGGAAAGGCCGAGCGGGCGCAGACACAGAAGAAATCTTGGGCAGGATTCCGTCCCGGCGCTGCCCTCGAGGGGAAGCCTCCACCGGGAAGGCCAGAGGCGGCCTCCATGGGCTGCTCTTCCTGGTGCGATACGGCCAGGACCGCAGTTCCTGCCTGTTGACTTCCAGTTCCGCCGTGCTCGCGTAGGGGCTCTCACAATGTTCTGATTGTGTTGGTGACATCAGCGACCTCACTAGAAGTGTTGGTGCCATCTGACGGAAACTTGTTCCGTGTGGGAAGTATTTTATTCCAGGAAGGATTATTTTACTTGCAGATATTCTTTTTGGTTGCTTAGAAAGCGTGGAATTTGAACACTCGTGCCTGCCAGCTGGGGTGGATTTTCCTGAGGTCAAGAACATCCGGGGCATTAACCTGTTCTCTGCCTTGGCCTGTCCTGACTTAAGCAAATTGCTTAACTTCTGTGGCTTAGTCGGTCTAGTGTAAATTAGATACTCACTGCCCTGGGGAGAGTGGTTGGAGGCTTAATTAGCTGTGTAATGTTTGTGATGTTCGTACAGCATCTTGAGTCACAGAAGGGCTCCGTAGGCACCGAGTGCTAATGGACGGGCACGGGAACGCGCTCAGGATTTGATGATCAGCTGCAATCTTTACGGTGTAACTGTGCTAGGATCCGTAAAACCCAGCAAGAAGAAATGTGGGCTCTGTGGATCATTGCTACAAGTTGCGGGCAAAGGCTTCCATGTTCCGCGCTTCCCTGCGGGAATTACCCTCCTCTGTCTGGATACCTGGTGCTGATCTGTGGCTTAATAAGGAGGTGGAAAATAGCAGAGGTGCAAATCCATTTCAGGATGGATTTCTGAATCCATTTCAGGATGGATTTCTGAATCGCTGCACTGGAGCAGCTGGAATGATGCTGAACAACTCCTTTGTGGGCTCTCCTTGGTCCTGCTAGTCTGGAGCTTGGGATCACTGCAGTTTTGCCAGGGATAATTTGCCTGTCATCTTCCTGGCAGCTCTAGATGGTGTTTGTGCGTGTTTAAGGCTGGCTCTTTCTCCCTATCCTTCAGTGTTGGAGGATGTGCAAGCCTCTTAAAAAAAAAAAAAAAGGTATATCAAGTCGTTTGGAAAATGTCATTATGAAATAATCTCTTCAAACTGTTCCTTGTGCTGTAGAATTCAGAAGAGTTGTGGGCCAGGTAGGAAATCACAATTACTGAAACGGTGGACGTGAATTTTGTCACCAGAGCAAATTGGGCACAAGTCGAAAACGGTGTTTCAGACCTTACCTAACTGCAGGGTCGCCCCCGAGTTCAGCAGTTGTTACTAGAAGGCTGTCAGGGGTAGCTAATTAGCAGGAATCTTTCTACTGCTTGCTTGCATAAATGGAGTTACTTCTCAGTCGAGCTCCTCATGATAAATGTCATTACTTGCCTGCTTTTATTGAGTGCTGACAGAATTATAGGGGTTGTGCCGACCGTAAGAGCCCGGCTTGTGGCTGAGCTTTGCCCGTGGCTTAAGCTGGAGAAGCTTCCCCTGTTCCTGTTGTGCTTCTGAACAGGCACTTGAATTTCCCAGGTTGTAAATAGAGCCCATTTTGCTAATCTGAAATTACACTATGGTATCATGATAATAGATGTTAGCTCTCCCGTATATTTGCAGGGTATTTGAATGCTCCAAATTAGGCAGTCGCTGTGTATGGTATAAATAATGCTCAATACCTGTAGCATGAACCCTGGTCCCTAACGGGAGCCGTTCTCTTTCAGGTGAACCGTGTTGCAGAAGCAGTTGTCCCACCGTGCGTTCCTGCAGCTGGTTCCTTCCTTGGTTTGGGTCTCTGTGATAAAATCAGGCTCTAGCAGATTCTAGGCCCTTCTGTGTTATTTTTTTTTATGAATGCTACGATTTTACCATGCCTGAAATGATTAAGTCATTACTATGAAGTAGGTTAATCCTGCTCCCTGCTAGCAAGGTGCGTTACATAACTGTGTAATTAAAGTCCAGAACTCATCGGGCTCTTTTCACATGCAGCTGCAGGCAGTGGTGCTGCCTGCTCGCTTTGATCTCCTCTGCTCCCTTCTTGTGGCTTTTGGTCTTTTCCGAGTTGAGCTCATGTTTTAATGTTGGGGATATTGTGTGGCTGTGTGTATGGAGGAGGGTGGGAATCCTTATTGCGCCGCCTCCGTTAACATCACACAGAATCCCAGAATGGTTGGGGTTGGAAGGGACCTCTAGAGACCATCCAGTCCAGCCCCACTGCTCCAGCAGGGACACTACAGCAGGCGGCACAGGGCTGCATGCAGGTGGGTTTGGAAGATCTCCAAAGAGGAGACTCCACAACCTCCCTGGGCAGCCTCTTCCAGTGCTCTGTCACCCTCTTGGTATTGTCACCCCTTGCAAGACTCTTGACGTCCCCAGGCAGCCCTTGCAGCCCTCAGGTGAATCCCGGGCCCGGCCAGGCCGCCCTCTGCGCGTGCAGGCTCCGGATCTCCTCGTTCGGGGGCACGCTCGGCGTGAGCAGCTCCCGCTGCTGCCGCGGGCGCTGGCGGCAGAGCCACAGCCTGTGCAGCGGGGGGTGCTGATGCACAAAGCAACGTCCTGCACCGCTGGCCGCTGCGCTCCGCGTGCGGGGGCCCCGTGCTGCAGCATAATGCTGCCCAGTGTGGGAGAGAAAATCACAGCACACTTTATTTCTGGGGTGGCGTTTCATTTTCAGGGCCTGTTTTTGCAGCTGTGCCCTTCCTCCATGTCCTGGAGACAGAAGCACAAACACTGCCAGCGGGATGTTCGTTCCCCTTGCTCCAAATCCTCTCTTGGAGAGTGTAAATCCCAACCTGGGGGAAGGATCTCTGAAGCAGGCAGGGAAGATCAATCTCTGTGGCCCATTCAGCATTTGGCTTCTCTTCTGAGCCCTGAAAAAATGAGGAGGGGAGGGTATAGTATGTCCGGCGGCAAGTAGGACTGCTAATTTTAAGCTCTAGATGTCTGCCTGTTGTAAACTGTACTGAGATCACCAAACTTATTTTACTCAAACAGCTGAGTTGCATCTGACAGCTGAGATCTGGGTGGAATTTCAGCAAGAAAACCGCAGGGGGGGAAAAGCAGCACATCCTATTAAAGAAAGAACCAAATATCTGCGAGAATTAGGAAAAGTCGGGAAGGGCAGATGCCTGATGAGCCCGCAAGAGATTGCTGGGTCATCTACACACAGTCCTTGGGGCCTGACAGATGCTGGTGTCTGTGCCCGGATGGTGAGTGTTGGAGCAGGGTTCGTGCCAGCCCAGTCAGGCCCGGGAGATGCCGCTTGCAGCAATCCCGGCGTTCCTGGCCAGGCAGGAGGTTGGGTTCACTGCAAGCTCCATCTTCCTGGGTCTCGTTCCACGCTGGTGTGGGAGGCTGGAAGCCGGGATGGGATCCCGCGGGGTGCAGGGGAGGCGGCGGTTCCTCCGGCACGTGGGCCGGTACCAGTGCTTCCTCCAGGGACACGGGGCTGTGCGGGGCTTGGGGACGGACGAGCCCCGCGATGTCTCCCCGGCCCACCGGGCAACCCACGTGCTGGCCAGGGCGCTGGCGACACGACGGGTTCTGGGCTGTGACGGGGAGCAGCAGCAACATCTGCCCTTGCCCTGTCCTGTGACAGCTCTGCAAGGTGGCAGGAGCCTGGGATGTTAAACAAGGGGTCCTGGCAGACATAAAAACCAGACTAGCTCGCAGGAAGGGAGATATTCCAAACAGTTCCCTCCTTGTGAGCTGCCGATGCACACAAGCAGTGAAAGGCAGGCTTCTTACCGAGGGTCTTGATGCAACTGTTGTCTTTATCCTCTGGAGTCACTGTGGAGAGGCCCTAAAAAGACACTAGCCTCTCCTAACAAAGGAATCCATTCAGCTCGCGCTGTATTTTTAGCAAAGCGTGATTCTTCTTCAGTTTCAAAAGTAGCAAGTGGGGAATGCAGCCTACATCAGTGCAAGATGCAGAATGAGCTCATTCAGGCTGCAGCATCTGTTTGGTTTGAAACAATTACCAGTGATATCAGGAGATCTGCATTTTTTCTTGTAATAGCCGGAGCCCGTGGTAAACAAGAGCTGCTTTCTCTGTGTGCTTTCTATGCCAGTGGAACACAGCCGGGCAGAGAGGCTTCTGTTCTGGCACCTCGCATCACAAATCTTGCATTTCCAGCAACCGTCCTTGCCTTTGTGCTTTCAAGGCAACTCTATTAATTTTTTTTTTTTACCTGATTTTTTTCCCTTCATTCTGCTTTAAGCCACGCGAACGCTAGAAATACGTGTGTTTCCGTTCTAATAGAGTTTGCTAAGTTACTGCAACTTGATGCATCGGTCTGCATTAAAATAAATGCTCACAAGGAAATGGGGCAAAAGGTAGAAAACTAATCCTTGTGTTCACGTCTCTGCCGTGTCCTCATGGAGATTGTGGCGCTTTGGGGGATTTGTGTTGCCATGCAAATGCCTTTCTTCCATTTCCCAAGCCTCCCCAGCAGGTGGGTGGCACAGAGGATGCTCCGGCGCGCGGCTCTAACTGCCCCTGCTGGACACTGCTCCCCTCTAACGGGGCAGCTGAAAGACTCAGGGATCCGGGGCTGGTCTCCACGTGAGGAGGAACTTCTTCACTGTGAGGGTGCAGAGCCCTGGCACAGGCTGCCCAGGGGAGGCTCCTGCTCTGGAGGTCTCCAAACCCACCCGGATGCCACCCCGTGCTCCGGGTGTCCCTGCTGGAGCAGGACAGGTTGGACTAGATGATCCCTAGAGGTCCCTTCCAACCCCAACCACTCTGGTTCTGTCTGCTGAGCAGGCAGCAGTGGGGACCTGGAGAGCTTCTGCCGTTAATCCCGTTCATCGCTTTCCTTAGGTTATAGAAAAAAACCTTTTGAGAGAAGATACGTGAATAAAATTGATTTTTCTTTCAGTTCATAATTATGGAAACAAGTGACTAAAGCTCTGGTTAAACTGCGCAGCCGCTCAGTTTCCAACTTGTAGCCACTTTTTTTTCTTTCCCCACCGTATTTTGAGTGTTTGCACAGTAATACCCCAAAGCAGCCTTGCCCGGGTGCCCCTTAACCATCTGTTGGTGGTGACCGCAGGGCTGCAACAGGGCCCTCGGGGCGCCCGCTCCTCCTTCGCCCTCCTGTTGCCAACCGAGGTGCCCGCGCGCGCGCGCTGCGGTGGCCCCGGGGGCACGAGCCTGAGTGCCCGGGGCCACGGCCACCGAGCGGGGGGCACCCGCTTGGGCCTGGCCCCCGCGGCCCTCGCAGCGCCCTGTGTCTATTGTTTTGCCAGCTGCCGAGCCGGGGCTGTTTGTGGGAAAACAAGCGTGTGCGGGAGGCAGCTGCGGGGGAACGGCCAACGGCGAGGCCGAGCGAGGCCAAAAACATGGTGACTTGTTCCAGCACAATCGCCTTTGTTCTGTGCCCGGGGGGTTTGCTGAACATTGCGCTCATTGAGCGCCGGCCTCCCCTCCGCTCGCCCTCGGCGCCGCCTCCAGCGGGGCACGCGCCGGCGCGGCCTCCGCGTAGCGCCTGCCTCGCGCGCGGGTGCACCGGCCGCGCGGCGGGCGCCTTCGGTGGTGACGGGCGCTCTGCGGCTTTGGCTCTTTGGCTAGGAGACTTTCTAGCTGGAGGGGTTAGTAAAATTAGGCCTGATTTCTAGGTACGGCCAAGATGCGAATGCTGCATATCTGCGACTCTGGCAAGAGCTGCCCTGCTCCCTGAGCCCTCTGATTTGGCAGCTGGCTAAAAGGCAGGGCTAATCAGTGTACCTGACAGTTTTATTTTCCATAGTTGTAGAGACCTCTTGCACCGAGGCAGAATAAAATCAGATGTCACGAGTTGATGTCCCCCAGAGAGAGCCCCGCAGCCCTGCTCCATGACTGCGCTGCAGCTACAGCCCTTCATAAAGACACACACTGCCTCCTGCTACGTTTATTCCCGTCGTCACTTGTGTCTTTTCTCCCGCTGGTTCTGCCTGGTGAAGGGGGAAGTTGTGGATGAAACTTCCCTTAAAATGTAGAGCACCGAGACCATGGCTGGAGCGTGATGCCAAGAACAGGTCCCTCTTGGGCTGCTTATATAAACCGGTGAAGGGGGATGCAAGAAAAGAGGGAAGGGTTTCCTTTTCCTGAGGATTGCTCCCGAGAGTTAAGGGATGCTGCTCTAAACCATATGTTGTATGTTTTTAAATCTCCTCAACTGCCTCTGCAAATACTCGCTCGGGAGAGCGAGGACTATTTCTGGACCTGTTGCCAAGGCAGTGCCAAGCTCCTGCTTGAGGCTTGCACCCTTGTTGCTCCGCAGCTCAGCTGTCTTTTGAGCAAAGAAATTGCTCCTGGCCCCGTTTCTTCCGTAGGTGAGACTATTTCTGAAAGATAGGCGGCGTTTTTCTGTTTTGCCCTCCACTCCGATGACTGGAGAAGGCTGAGAGGGCATCTGATTAACGTGTATAAGTTCATGAAGGGGGAATGGAGGGAGGAAGGGGCCAAGCTCTTCTCAGTGGTGCCCAGTGACAGGACAAGGGGCAGTGGGTATAAGTGGAACCACAGGCAGCTCCATCTCCGTGTGAGGAGGAACTTCTGCACTGTGAGTGTGCAGAGCCCTGGCACAGGCTGCCCAGGGAAGGCTGGGGAGGCTCCTGCTCTGGAGGTCTCCAAACCCGCCTGGATGCAACTGGGTGCCCCGTGCTCTGGATGTCCCTGCTGGAGCAGGGGGTTGGACTAGGTGATCTCTAGAGGTCCCTTCTAATCTCAACCATTCTGTGATTCCGTGTGATTCTGTGACTGTCGGGGCTATGCAGCGCTCGCAGGATGAGGCTGCTCTCACTGCCGGGTGGGACTCTGGGTTTTACCGGGCTCTGGGTCGAGCCTCCCGTTGAGGGAAGGAGCGCGGCGGTGGGTTTAGTTCCCTGCAGTGCTCGTGTGGCATCAGCAAAGTCGCGTCCTGGCAGAACCCCCTGCCCGCGACCCTGGCGAGGGGAGATGGTATCGGAAAGGCGGCCCCGAGGTCCACGTTTCTTGGGAGTGACGTGTTTGGGAGCAGCTGCCTCTCGTGGAGCCCCCGAGGAGTTTCCCGACGGCCTCCTGGGGATCCCGCGTTTGACAGTCGCCCTGCGGGCTCTTCCCCTGCACTCATCTTCACTGCCCGTGTTGTACTCCCTTGCAGGGAAGCGGAATCCTTCAAGGAACAAGGAAACGCATACTATGCCAAGAAAGACTATAACGAAGCGTACAACTATTACACGAAAGCCATAGGTGAGAACAGTCGGTGATTCTCGTAATCCTGATGGGTATCATATCTAAAAAGCAAAACTGCCTATCAATTTAAAATAAAGGAGCAGGATTTCTAAGAGCCCTTGCTGGGTCAGAACTTTTTCCTGTTTAATTACCTCGTACAATCTTGCCACATTGATAATGAAAGCTAGTGTTGATGAGGGGGATTGCAGCAGTCTTTCTGCGTCTGCTCTAGCCAGAATATTGCTAACGGGAAACCAGTCCAGCACTTCCCTCTCCTGCAGGGCCGGCAGCGCTGCCAGGCTGAGCCCCACAAAGTGCTGCTCTCTGTGAATTCCCAGGTACAAGGCATGAGAAACGAGAGGTTCATGCTCAGTTCTCCTAAGCTCTTCTAAACAGCTGCTGGGCCATCACGATCAGCCTAAGCCCCTTGGGCGATGGGTTGTAGATTCGGAGGGGCTGGGGTCTCGATGCCGACGAGCTGCCCGCCTTGCCGTGACACGGGCACCGCTCTGTTTGCCCTAGACACCTGTCCCAACAACGCCAGCTACTACGGGAACAGAGCTGCCACGCTCATGATGCTGGGGAGGTTCCGCGAGGCGCTGGCCGACGCTCAGCAGTCCGTCAGGCTGGACGACAGCTTCGTAAGGGTACGTGCAGAGCTCCCCTCCCTGCCTCTGACCCCGCCGTCCCCAGCTAGTGCTGTTCTTGCAATTGCCTCGAGCTGTCTTTGCAGGGCCACCTCCGGGAAGGCAAGTGCCATCTGTCCCTAGGCAATGCCATGGCTGCCAGCCGCTGCTTTCAACGGGTTTTAGAACTGGATCACAAGAATACGCAGGCACAGCAAGAGGTAAGAAGGTTTCACAACCTAAATGTTCTCGATACGTGGCACTGCCCAAAGAAATGGATTGGGCTGGTGTGTCTTTTGCAAGGTGGAATCTCGTTCAGGCTCAGTGGTGATAGTTGTATGCCACGGTGTTGTGGAAAAAAATGATATGATGTCTCTGTATCTGTAACCCACTGGGTTGCTTGATTTCAAACTGCTTTTAGTCCTGCAAAAAGCAGCAATGTGATCTGCCCAGTTCCATGCCTGGCAGTAGTTTTTGTTTTGACACTTGCAAACTTAAATGCTGTTTGATGGCGTAGATCACTGGCCCACCTGCAACATTTGCTGTGTTTTCCTGTCTTTCAGCTGAAAAACGCCAGTACTGTCCTTGAGTATGAAAAAATAGCTGAAGTGGATTTTGAGAAACGAGATTTCAGGAAGGTAAGACAACTTTCTTTGCTTTGGAGGCCTGTTTTATCTACTCAGATCAAGCAGATGCAGATCTCTTCCCCCCTGCCTGGCATTAGCTGTGCCCTCATGCAAGGTGCCACACAAGGTGCTCTTGCTGTAGGAGCAGGGCTGTCCTGTGAGCTGTAAGGGCTGAGAACAGGGCAGAGCTCGTGTTCTCCCAGCACCAGACACATGCAGAGGGAGAGGACGAGTGGCTCAGGCCAAATCTCCTCTTACTGTTTGCTTTGCAGAGTGAGTGGGACCCTGAATTAAGGTGCTTGACTAGAGGTTGTGTTAGCAGCATTTGTTCATGCTTTGCTTCTCGAATGCCAATACCAAGGATTTTTCTTCTCTCCTCCTCTCTCTCTCTCTCTCTCTCTCTCAAAAAAAGCTTATACGTGAGTGCCATTGAAGGAGGGTTGCAGATCTGCTTGGGACAAACTCCATTACTGTTTCTAAATTCTTCTTCCTGAGGGCTGTGGCAGGATGCAGCTGGCACTGCCCTGCAGCATGAAATCTGAAAGCCACCAAGCACTTCTCCTGCCTCCGTTTCGCTTCAGTGGTTGCATTTTTGGCCCAAGTTTGGGTCCAGAGTTCCATATTTTGGTCTCTTCTAGGCTAAGACCAAAATTAGGAAAAGGTGAATCCCAACTTTGCCTCTGCTGGTTACAAGGAGCAGCTGGGACGTGTGGTCGGTCTGGGCTGCGCGTGTAGCGATGGCCCTGCCCGCGTCGCTTGTTCTGCCCTTTGCATCTGTCCCTTGGCTTGCGCAGGGGCGCGTCCCTGGGGTGCCTTGCATGAAGATGATCTTTGTTTGCGCCGAGCTGCTCGTGGCCCTGGCGCGGCCGCGGCCCCGGGCTCCCGGCGCCCGCACAGTGTGGCCCACAGAGCCCGCGTGATGTCACGGCCCGGCGGGCACACGGGCCCTGCGGGAACAATGACCCTCTTCTCGGGCAGATGGCCCCACCGCAGATCGGAGATGGAAGGACCCGTTAGATCACCCTGCCCATATTACTCAGAGCAGAGCAAGATCAGCCCCTGCACTGAGTTATTTTATTTTTGTGCTTTGGCCAACTGTCTCCATGTGTTGAATTTCTGTCACCCCCTCCCATATCTTGGTAACGCAGGAAAGAGAGGCAGATTTGTCTTCCCTGGCTTCTCTCTAGGGCCTGCAGTTTCGGAACGGTTGAAGGGATGAACCTTCCCTGGGTGCCCTTTGAGTCTGCTGTGTGATTCCAAACTACGTGTAGTCCCCTTTTTGGATACCAAACAACAAGTATTGCAGAACCTCTTAAAGAAAGCACTTTGAGGAGGGGAACAAAAATACACATCCAAATTTTCTGATGAAACAGGTATTTCCAGCTGCAGAGGAAACAGGTCTTCGTACACGTATCTTCCTGTTCAAAGAGAAATTGGAATTCTCGAGCGTGGTAGGGGTACAGTCCTTGAAACTCCGTCTTTGGCTGTTTGCTTCCTTCAGCACGGTGTGTTTTTCTCACGTCAGGTCGTGTTTTGCATGGATCGTGCTTTGGAGTTTGCTCCCGCTTGTCACCGGTTCAAGATCCTGAAGGCTGAATGTTTAGCGTTGCTGGGTCGCTACCCAGAAGCACAGTCCGTAGCAAGGTGAGCTGGAACTGGAGCAATAACTGGTGTAGAGTCCTGTGTAATCCCCCCGCCCCCTCGTGAAAAGCAATTTGCTTTGCTTAGCTTGAAAGTCCCAAGGTGAGGATGTATGAAGCAGAAATAGTCCTTAATGCAAATTTGGGTGAGAGAGAGCGCATGAGTTTTTCCCCCTTCAGTTTATCTCACTAGAAAACTCTACTTAGGCCCCATTAACCACCACAAGTCCTGCTTGAGCAAACACCTACATATTGTGCATGTCTGTACCATTGACCTGATAGGATAGCTAAATAGCCCTGCAAAAGAAGAGTGCTTTGGGGGCTCAAAAAAGAAACATGTGGCTTTGTGGAGGGATGCTTATTTATTTGTTGCTGATTTTTTTTTTAATATACCTATGTCTGTTGCAGCGACATACTGCGAATGGACTCAACAAACGCAGACGCGCTGTATGTCCGTGGCCTCTGCCTTTACTACGAGGACTGCATCGAGAAGGCAGTGCAGTTCTTCGTGCAGGCGCTCCGGATGGCCCCGGATCACGAGAAAGCGTGTCTCGCCTGTCGTGTAAGCGGCGCTCTTTCCATAGAATCATTAAGGTTGGAAGGGACCCCTAGATATGATCCAGTCCAACCCCTCTGTATGTGCATAAGCTCAGAAAAAACTGAAGCTTTTATCCAGTTTTGTTTTGTTTTCTTCTAAGTTTCTTTCACTGTTATGTTCTCATTTTAAACCCTGAGGTGCCTGCACTTGGTGTTGGCAGTTCCTGGCCCCTTCTCTTTGTGGGAGCTGAAATACTTGCATCTCCTTTCAGCTACTTTGCAGCTTTGGTAGCCTGTAGTGGTGGTGTCTGAAAGCAAGCGAGAAGAGACACAGAACTCTCGCTGAGTGTAGAGCACAGCCCAGCAAAACAAGGTGCTGGCCATTCCCTGAACATCCCAGTTAAGGTCTTACCAGCGTGTTTTTACTTTCAGAATGCCAAAGCACTTAAAGCAAAAAAAGAAGATGGGAATAAAGCCTTCAAAGAAGGAAACTACAAACTAGCATATGAACTGTACACAGAAGCGTTAGGAATAGACCCAAATAACATAAAAACAAATGCCAAACTCTACTGTAACCGGGGGACGGTTAATTCAAAGGTAAGACATGGTCACCTGAAAGGTGGTCTTTTGCCTTGGGGACATATTCCATGTAATTCACAGATATTCCAGCATAAGCTGCCCTGGCTGTGTGGAGCAGCCGGGTGATTCTAGTGCTGTTGGCAACGCTTTGGGTTTTTGTGCTTGCACAACAGTTGGCACTGCTCCAAACAGCCAAAGAAGTTGAGTTTTGTTTCTTCGGGAGTCAAGTACTCGGCCTGCAGAGTGGGAGGGAGGGGAGGAATGTAGTTCCACCTCGTCCCAATCAGCAGCTAGGCATCCTTTTTCGTTTCCTTTCTGGTGCGATTTGATGAGTGGGGTTTTTTTTTGCTTTGTTTTGTTTCGTTTTGGTAGGTCATCTGCTTTGCTTTGGTTTATTTTGGTCTGAAATAATCTGACCTGATTTTAAAACCCTGGGTACATTTGCCCATGTAGAACCAACATGGATCATATTCTCTATAGAGAATAAAAACTTTGTGTTTTTAGGGGGTTGGGAAAAAAAAATCCTGGACTTTTATTTACCTAAAAGCGTACTTTTATCAGAATTTATTCTCTGCTTGGGATTTGCTTAACTTGTCTGTCGTTGTAGCTTAGGAAACTTGAAGAAGCAATAGATGACTGCACAAATGCGGTAAAACTGGATGAAACGTATATCAAAGCATACTTGAGGAGAGCACAATGGTAAGTAGACCTTTATCATGGACATGCTGAGCAGGTTTATGGGTAGAAACCTCAGTCCTACAGAACGGTGTAGCAGGGATAACAAAATTTGAAGCTTAACTGAAGTAAAAGGTTCTGTCTTAAGAGGCCCTGAATTTGCTCCCCTTTCTTAGCTGACAGGGGGACAGGAGTCCTCAGTACTGATTATTCCCCTGATTATTATAATAAAACTGATTATTACAGTAATTAGTATCACATGACTGCATTCCAGTTCATGTCTTTTCCTTAAGTCATGTCTGTGCAGATAGTTTGCACTTAAATCCCCTTGTGTTATTTTCTGTGAGATAGACCTTGGTAACCACTGTTTCCTTGCACAGTTATATGGACACAGAACAGTATGAAGATGCTGTAAGAGACTATGAAAAAGTTTATCAGACAGAAAAAACAAAAGGTAAGCATGTTAGCATCCTCTTTTTGTGCACATACACTTTCACCGAGTAGAGACAAATAGTTCTGTCTTTTCTTGCCTTCTTCGTTTGTGCGATAGTCTTAGTCCTTATGGTTCAATGTCTAAAAAAAAATGTTTTAATACCACTAAGATGTATACCTATGTTTGGAACCAATCTTAAATGAAAAGTGTTAATTAGCCATCTAAATGAAGCAAGTTATTTGTGATATTTGAATATGTCATCCCAGGTCACCTCACTGTGTTAGTTTGTCAGCCTCTTGTAGAGCAGGTTACTCTGCCTGAAACTAAAGCCGCTTTCCTTTGCCGTTGTGCTGCTTTCCAGAACACAAGCAACTTCTAAAGAATGCACAGGTAGAACTGAAGAAGAGCAAACGGAAAGACTACTATAAAATCCTTGGAGTTGACAAAAATGCCTCCGAAGATGAGATCAAGAAGGCTTACAGGAAAAGAGCACTTATGCATCACCCAGGTACCCAGAAACAGTCTGTTATTAGAACCTCTATCATTGCTTTGATTCCACTACCACCTCCATGCAGAAACGAGAATAGTAGGCAGTGGATTTTCTGGGTACTTGACCCTTTTTGACCCCAGATTTCTAAAATACCAAATTACCTGATTGTCTTTTTTGCTGGTTCAGATACTGCTCAGAATTGTCTGTCTCTTCACACAAGCCCACAGTGGCTGGGAATCTGTTGGGTTTCCGTTTGCTCTAGAACCTGAAAGCTGCTTTCCTGTTATATTCCCAGACCGACACAGTGGAGCAAGCGCAGAAGTACAAAAGGAAGAGGAGAAGAAATTCAAAGAGGTTGGAGAGGCCTTTACCATCCTGTCAGATCCCAAGAAGAAGGCTCGCTACGACAGCGGGCAGGATCTAGAAGAGGATGGACTGAACATGGGAGGTGAGCATTTCCCACAGCGTCCTACCAATGCAGCCTTTAAAAAGACTAGAGCATTTAGAGTCTGACTTCTACTCCAGGGGACCTTGGTTGTTTTTACCCCCTATTTATGGTAATCCTATGAATTGACTGGATTTAGTTTCTGGAAGTATGTGAGAATTTGCACAGAACATTTGAAGCTGCAGAACAGAGCAAACTATTTGACTATAGCTTTTTGTCCATCTATAAAATGCTTCATGGGCTCTCAGTTAAGCAACATTGTCTAAATTGTCAAAAAAAAGTGTATCTGGTTGTTTAAATTCAGCTCACAACTTCCTTTTTCCTCCTCTGTAGATTTTGATGCAAATAATATCTTCAAGGCCTTCTTTGGTGGGCCGGGCGGCTTCAGTTTTGAAGGTAGGTGGAAGTGCCCTTCCATCAAAGTGATTTTGTTTGAAATAAGTGCTTACTTGATATCAATATATTAAGGAATGATATTTAATAGTAGTATATTAGAATTCTGAAAGTGCTAATATTTTTCATTTTCTTTTTCAGCTTCTGGGCCAGGAAATTTCTTTTTCCAGTTTGGCTAAAAAAAAAAAAAAAACTCCACATACCTGATCTGCTTATTTTAACCTTGAATATGGACATACTTAGACTCCTTCCTTCATCATGTCTCATTGTACTTAGAGCAGTTTCATTTTCTCGGTTGGAGACCTCTTGTTTTGTGTGCTTTTGTGTGTGAAGAGGAAACCAGCCCGGGGAGGGGAAGGCTTGTGAATTTGGTTTTACTGTTAACTTTATTAAAAAAAAAAAAGAAAACAAACAATAATAATAATAATAATAAAGCTTTGAATCTTTCGGTCCCTCCATGCTGGCCCATGCTTTCAGACTGAGGGGGTTTCCTTGGAGTCCTCTCCGTGGCATCTTGGCCTGCAGGAGGGTGAAGCCATCTGCTTGTTCTGGTTGGCTCCAAAGTGTGGTGTGGCAGCATGTCTAGGGCTTGTAGCAATTCATAAGTTCTTTCAACCTTCTGGAAATACCGCTAAGATTCAGTCAAGTTTGATAGAATTGCATTTTTTTTTTTAACCTGCCAGCTGTTGTTTCTTTTTTGCCATGATTCTACCAGAACGGTACACATGGGCATTAACTTAAGTGGTAGTGTGTGAAGTTAACACTTACATATCAGAGAAGCACTTCTTTGGGTTGAAAAGGGCAGCTTATGTGAGAATTCCCTGTGGTGCAGCTGGAATGAAGGGCTTTGTGTTTCCACTCAACCGTCGTCTTTAAGGGAACACGCAATTTGCTCTGGGCTGAATTTCTTCATCGGATCTTTTTTGGTTTAATCCACTTGAACCTTTGATATTTGTGCTAAAACTTGAGTTTATGGCTTAAAAACTTCATGTTTGATTTCATGTACTGATCCATAACTTGGACGAGCTCTTTCTAGCTTTGAGGACGTGTAAAGTCATATTCAGGTAATTAACTGAAAAGGGTTACTCTGTGCGTGTGCCACGCTGTGTTCTCATGACGTTTACAGCAACTGTACAAATACGTTAAATTAATAAGTAGTTTTCAAATCCAAGTAATTTACTCTTTGGAAGAAGCAAGAAAATGCACAAACTTGGAACTGGCGCTCTGCAACTTGCTTCTCTTGCACCACGGCAGGGAACGGCCGGCGCGGTGAGGCTGGAGCTGTGGGCAGTGAACGCTGCTGTATTTTTCCCTGCAAGTGTCGTGTTGTAGCAGGAGATAAGCCGAGGAGGTCTCTGCTTCCAGCATTCTCCTCCGTTTCTCCTGTAGAGTGGAGGGCCGAGCCGGAGCCGCTGTTGGCTGCGCCGAGGCGGCGCGCGGGGCCGGCAGAGCGCGGGGCTTGCGCCCGTTGCTGCTCGGGCCAGGGTCTTTCAGAGGCGTCGCTGTGTCCGGAGTGTCTTCAGCCGACCCCGGTAGCGTAGGGACCCTCGAGGGTGGAATTTTGCCTGGCTGGATGAAACGGATGTGCTTTGGAGTACACGCAAGGCGTTTTCCTAGGGAAACCTGCCACTAGCTTTTATATAACATCTGACTCGACTCCTTACCGTTGGGGAAAGGGATTGCAATGACTTCATTGCATGAACTCGTTCTCGTGAGTGCTCATATCTGTCTTCCTTCCTCCTGAGGGCTGTACTTGTCCTCTCGACTTGGACAGAGTGGCTAGACTGCGAGGCAAGCTCCACGTCATCTCCAACAGTTGCAATAGAAACACGCGGTGCTGCTGCTGCTGCCACGCTGCCGTGGCCGCTCTCTGTCAGGAGTTTTGACAATCTGCTTTCATCGAGGGAAGATTTAAGGGCTTCAATTCTAGGGCTGCAGAGCAAGGGAGGTTTTCTTGTAACTCGGAAGTCAACTTTGGAAATGAGGCAATGCTCAATAATTTCCACAGACTCTGCACCATCAACTTCCTTTGCGCCAGTGTAACTTGATGGATTTCCCCGGATTGCACTGGGAGCAAAGCGAGGTCCTAGCGTCTTTTCGACGCTGTAACAATAAATATTGGGGGAATTAAAATACCAGTCTATGCATATGGAGAGTTCTGCAGTTCTCATGGCACTTGTAAATCCGCGTTTACAGGACTTCCTTCAGTGAGGCATTCTGGATTCGTGGCGTCTTGTCTGTGTGTGTTAATATTACTGTACAGGTTGGAGTTTTCCTAGTCTCTTCTCATTGTGTGCGGGGAGGTGTCCTGTGCTTCTTGATGTGGGTTTTCTTTTCTTGATTTGCTCTTATTAATTATTTTCTCCCTCTTCCCCCCAGTTCAGACAGGCTTCCTTCTCTCCAAACCTTGAGATGGTTCCTTGGAAGAGCTCCCGAGAGCTTCTCTTCCAAGAGGAAAAGTAAACAGGACGTATTTATATAAAACTGTACATGAATGCATGATTTAATGTAGTTAAATATTAACATGGTGAGTGCCAAGAGGTTTTTAAGGAGCGCTATCAACGTGATTAGAAGCGAACGCAAACGCCTGCTCACTCGTGCGGGGTGTGTTAGAGCAGGAGCGGGAAGCGGAGGCTCCCGGCGCTCCGGGACCGGAGCAGGGTGTTTGGTGAGCGGGAATCAGCTCCCAGTGCTCCAGGACCAGAGCAGGGTGTTTGGTGAGCGGGAATCGGTGGCTGAAAAAGATGTCTTTCTGGAAGTGGAAGTCAGTGCTGACCTTTACTGAAGGGCTGCTTTTTGGCACCACAGCAAGAGCCTTAGTAGTTGACTCTAGAAGGTGACTAAAAGAATCAGCAGGCCCTTTCCCATGAGCTGCCTGGTAAATAGCTCCCGCTGCAGGGCCCGGATCGGGGCCGCTTGGAGAGGCCTCGGAGCAAACAGCGGGGAGGCGACTGCCCAGTAACCGCACAAACGAGGAGCCTTGGGCTCGGCCGGGGAAGCGTCAAGCTTTGGAAGTGCTCAGCTTGGAGCAACCGGTCGTGATTCCCTTCTCCTGCCGGGAGATAAGGATCCGCTCTGCTGTTGGCTCCCTCCGCAGCTCCTTGGCCCGGTGGATGGTGTTCGTGAGGGCTGAGCTGCTGTAGGGCTGGTTTCATGCGGGGCAGCCGCATTCCCATGGAAGTGGAAGGCACTTTATGCTTTGGAAATGAGAACGTGCAGCAGCATGGCCAGTCCCGGGGGCTGCTTGCATGTACATTGTCTGGCCTCTAGACACAAAGCCCAATGCGGGTTTCATTTCTATATTCCTGGTGTTTTCCCTTTGCAAATCTGATGCCGTGTAAGCTCCTCGGCTTGCAGGGGAGCGTTGCGGGAGTCTTTCTGCTCTCCTGGACGGGGCTTGGAATGAGCTGCGAGGACACGAGCTGCTTGTGGCTGGCGGCTCGGTCAGGCCCGTCTGCTTGTCTCTGCTCCGCGTGCTGCATAGGAAAGTCCACGGTTTCATTTGTGATCGTGGAAGTCTTGCTGTAAAGCTGGATTCTTAGCGTTAAAGGCTTCGGACTGTTTTGTAAATACGTTAATGCAATGTGAGGAGAGGGGAGAAAAAGGTTTAGGGGCGACAGTATTAAGTAGCCGTGGGCTATTGCAGGTCCCTTGAAGCTCTTTTGTATCGGACGGGGATGCGGGACGAGGAGCCCGTGGGCCCCTTGCGTGTCTGATTGGGACCTGGCTCGGCGGCGCCCAGCCCTGCGCCGGGCGGCCGCGCTCGGCCGCGTCGCTCTGCGCCCGATGGAGTGCCCGAGGCGTTCGCGCCGCGCGCCAAGACGTTCGCTCCTCTTCGAGCAGCTGTTGTCGTCCCGTTTGAATTTGTGCCTTGTGAGCTCCCCGGCCCTTCCTTGGGGAAGGGGACGGCTCGTGGATCGCAGCCGCTCTCCTTTCTCCGGGTAGCGCTGGCCCCGTCTCGCTCTTCTGGCCGTGCTGCGGGCGATGCTGACGGGCTCCGTGCCCCTCGCGCCGCTGCGCTCCGGAGCGGGCAGCCATACCCTTGGAGCGGGCTTGGCTCGGGACGGCCCCTGGCTGTGATGCCCTCCCCTTCCTCGGCTCCCCGGGGCTCCCCGGGGACAGGGCAGGATCAGCCCTTCTTTGGCCGAGTTCTCAATTCCCAATTCCAATCAGGGGCAGGCGCCGTCGCTCCGGCCAAGACGAGCGTCGGATGCGACGTGGCGCCGCCGAACCCGCGGCTCGCGGCCGGGCGCAGTGCAAGCGTGGCCCTGGCCGAGCCCTGAGCGACCCTCTGCTTTCCCATTCCCAGCTCAGGCTTCCCAACCAGCTCCAGCGCATGGAGCGGTGCCGGGGGCGGAGCGGTGCCGGGGGCGGAGCGGCCCGCCGCCCTCGGGCGCCCGCGCGATGCGACACTGATGTGAAGCCAACTTGGAGAGGATGCCAGACCCTCACCCGACGCAAAGACAAATTCTGACCTCAGTGTAAATACCTGTCCATCCGCAGGAATGCTTACCTCAGCGTAAACCGCCTTTCCCCCCGGAGGAAAGGCCTCTTGCATGGAGCAATCCCCGGTTGCTTTGCCAAACGCGCGCTCCTCCCTAAGGCAGGCTTCACATCGGTATGAGCACTGTCCCTCCCGGCCCCTTCCCTCCTAGGATGTGAACGGTAAAAATGTGAATACTTGTTGTTTACTTCATTAGGCATAATTCATGATGATGTGTTTCTATGAGGAATATCACAGACTGAAGCAAAACCATATGCAATTGGTTTACTTTATTATAAACTGTATATGATGTACAAACTAATAAACACTTAAATGAGGACAGTCTCGCTGTTGTTCTTAAGCAGGCAAATGAACCGGCTGCTCTAGCGGGCGTTTCGGTGACGAGCGCATGAGCGGGCATCAGCTGAGGCTTGAAAATATTTAATTCCTTTGGTAGACGAAGCCGTACAGGGCTCTCCTGGTGGGAAGGGCCCTAGCTGAGCATCAGCCGCTCCTGCTTTTCCTGGGGGGTTCATGGAATAGCTCGAGAGAAGCCAGCAGCTCTTACTTGGGCGCAGGTAAGGCAGGGGCTGGGTTATGGTGCGGAGGGTTGGGGTTTTTTGAAGGTGTAATGAGAATTTCTTCTGTTCTCCGTTGTTTTTTGACACAGCAGGAGCTCCCGTGCCTTAGCTGGCAGCTCGCGCAGCGCTTCCCCGCTCGGCCCCGTCGCAGGGAGGAACGCAGCCTGCGCCTCCCCAGCACCGTAAGCGCAGCCCTGTTAGTGCCGGGTTAGCTTCAACATCCACACTGTGAGCCCGAGCCACCGTTGTGGCCTGAAAGCCGTTAGCTGAGCGAGTGCAAGGGAGTGACGAGGTGGGACCGACTGGCGAACGGCATCGCTAAGAGCAAAACATAAGCTGGAAAAAAAATTAGATCCGAGCAGGCTTAAGTTATGTCGTTACAGAACCTCCATTTACTTCCTAAATTACAACAGTTAGGATGGAAGTAACATTACCATTCAAGTACATTAGATAAAAGTAGTAAAATCTTGTATGAAGTACGGGTCTATACTTCAGACACGATTTCAGTTTCTATAAAATAAGATGGAAAGACACTAGGTATCTCCTCCGCTCCCTGCCGAGGCAGGATTGTTCCCTACAGGCTGAGGGTGCTGGGCAGCACTTGGTTCGGCCCATCTGGCACCTGCCACGAGGAGCGCTGGGGCTGCAGGGTGCAGGAGCTGAACGTGGCTCCAGAAACTTGGCTCCTTTCCCTGTCTGTGGCTTCCCTTTCAGCCCCTAGTAGATGTCTTTAAGACACCCTCTGGTAAGGCCGTGTCTGTCTGTCCACCGCCTGCACACCAAGGAGCTGAGCACGGAGCTGGGGTGGCTGCTCCGGGGCACGCACAAGAGGTCGGCCCCTCGTCGGGGCTTCTGCGTAATCCCGGCCCCCGCCGTGAATCCGTCATCGGAGGGACGGGACTACCGAGCAGCGACGGGCACGTGTGCAGAAACTACCCAGAATTGGCTCTTCCTGGGTTTTGGCAACTACGTCAACTACCAGCCTTGCTACCGTTCGTCCCTCGGCTTTGGGGAAGGCAGAGGAGACGTCCTGCAGCTCCCGTCGCCTGCTGTGCCACCCGCTGCAGGCCTCGCGCTGCCACTGCTCGCTCACGTGGGACCGGCACGTCACCATCTAACGATTGTGGCTCGTAGGGAAGCTAGGAAAGACGGTGGGAGATCTTCCTCTGAGGAAGTAACAAGCAGAGCAGCACGGATAGGTCTCCTCAGAACTCCTCCGCTTGAAAAGCATTCAGCGCTTCAGCTATTGACATTTTTATCTATTCGACTGTTCTGATCTATTTGGTAGGTTTTGTCAGTCAGGAGCTGCTCGTTTCCTTCCCAAGGCTGATAAACTGTCTCCCTGGGCACGTACCACAGTTGGCAAAAGGACTTATTTAGTAAAGGTACAATTATTTCTCTTTACAATTTTAAAGGTTACAGGAGTTACTTGCTTTAAAAAAAAAAAAAAAGAAAAAAATTACAAATGGTGGCAAACCAAGCAGCTCTCCTGCCCGCGCTGTTAGATGATGGTGCAGGAGCTAAAAGCAGAGCCCCGCTTGTTGGTGCTCTGCGTCGGCACCAGCTTCCCTTTGCCGTAGTAGCCCGAGAAGATGGCCCTCACGTCGACCTTCTTCGAAAGCACGAGCATCCACATCCCGTTGTTAAAATACTGCAGCTTCCCTCCTCCGAGCACCCCCATGTCTTCGCCCTTGTTCCCTGCCTTCTCCAGCTTGACGAACTCGAGCAGGTCGAGGCCGGTCTGCACGGCCTCGACGCCGCTGGCGCAGCCCAGCGTGACGTGCGCCCGGCTGCCCTTGGGCAGGTTGTCCGCCGGCGTCACCTTGTCGGCGTCGGCCGGCCACAGCGGCAGCTGCTGCTCGCTCAGTTCCACGCGAGCCCCGACAGTCTTTGGGGTGACGAACAGAGCCGAGATGGACAAGGTGAAGCCTCTGCCGTAGGCGGCCTTCACAGCCTGCGAAAGAGGGAAAGAGCGTTCAGGGACTGCAGGGAGCAGCGCGGCGCGCTCGGGGTCTGGGCTGAGCAGGGTAACCCTCGCTCCCACACACCGGGGCAGCTACAGGGCTAGGAGCTGGTGGCCTCACACTTGTGCTCCACACAGCCAGAGCTGCTTCTGTCTTTCCTTCCATAAAAGCATAAATTCCAGCGCTGAACCGGCTGCTTGGAGCCACCAGTTCCAGCATGGAATAACTGAGCTGTAAGTACCGTAACTCACCACGATGCAGCCGGAGCTCTTGGGGATGCTGCTGGAAGGCAGGGCTGCACAAAGGGTATTTTATTGAGACTAGAAGCTGGTCCCTGTCTGCCCCGCTGCCCTTACCCAGGCCCTGGGCTCTGTGCCCGGCTCTTCTCCCTAAAATAATTTCCGCCCCCCCCAGCCCCCTCCCCATCTTGCAGCAGGGAAGGGGCAGAGGCCGAGGCAGACACTAACTTCTTGCTGTGCATATTCCTCGGCGCCAGCCGCCTTCCCGAAATCCGTGTATTTTGTGGTGCAGTGCAGGACGCCGGGAGGCCTCTTCACAAAGTAGCTGGTGAGATCTATTTTTATTTTGGGATCTTCAATAGCAGGAGCAACTGCAGAGAGAGGCAAATAAGGTTAGTCCCCAAAAAGACGATGCCACCACCCCGTGGCCCCCCTGGTTTGCAGCACCAGCCCGTCCTTAGCGTTTCGTCCTCGCTGCTGAAGGCAGGAAGCGAAACCTCTTTCCCCAACCTAGGCTCAGGGTGGATATAACCAGAGAAACTTGCACCCGGCACTGTGACTCATCTCAGCCCCGAGGCTGTAAAAGCCCCTGCAGGGCCTCGATTCTTCCCTCCGGATTCCTCCTTCCATCCCTTTTCCCTGCGACTCCTCGTGTCCCTTCTCCCTCCCGCGAGGCAGTCACGGAGTGCTCCGTGCGGCACTGCCAGCCTGCAGGGCACCTACCCGGCCCCTTCAACTGCTTCCTCTCTTTGCAACCCGCAAGAGCAGCTTTGTCTGCTGTGGAAAACAGACCAGGAAGGGCGCGCGAACAGGCTCTTTTTAGCAAACTGTAATTAAAAGTGTCACTTTAGAAGCTGAACAATTCTGCTCTGTTTGTTTAATGTTAATATTTGATCAACAGACAAAAACTTCCTATTTCTGTACATACAGTATTTGCTCTCCTTTTTGAAGTTTTTAAGGCTTCCGAGCTCGTCTAAGAAGGCCTGGCCAGTCTTCCGCAGGATCTCTGAACTTCTTTTACTCAAAAACCACCCAAAATACATGGGCAGGAATTCCTTCTCCAAGCTCGGCTTCATCTTCTTCAGCTCTTCCACGGACAGTTTCCATTGGTTCTTCTCCTTGAGCTGCAAGCAATCCGTTCTCCACTGCGTCTTTGGCTCTGCAAAGATGACTTTGTACCGGTACTTGTCAGCAATCTCAAACAGCTGATCCAGTCGCTCCCTTTCGTGGTGAGTGTCGTCCAAGACGATGACGCCGACATCTCGCTTGCAATATTCAACTAGTTCGTCATCGACTTTTGCGTACTCGTCAGGGATGGCGCTTCTTATCGCGGGGACGATTTTGTAGGCGTCGACGGAAATCACCTTGCAGGCGTCTTTATACCTGTCTTGGATGGCCTGGGCGAGCGTGGACTTCCCGCTGCCCGGGAGGCCTCTCAAAATGAAGAAGGTTTTGGACTCTTTGACGGTGGCGACGGTGTCGTCGTCGTCGAGGAAGGGGAACTGCAGCCCCTCGGGCCTCTCCTTGGCCGACTGGGTAGACATCTTCCGGAATATTTTGGGCAGGAACGCGTGGCTCTTCTTGGAGACGCCTCTGTTCTGAGGGTGCGAGAAGAAAAGGGTTTGTTGGCGGGTGCTGCGGGGCGGGAGACGCTCGGGGCCGCGGGGGCAGCTCCGGAGCTTCCTGCTCCCAACGTGCCCGGTACCGCTTCCCCCGCCCCGTTGCCCCCCGCGTTCGGCGCCGGCTTTGGGGTCCCACGGGGACTGAGGAGGGTGTCTGGGGATGGGGGGTCCCACGGGGACTGAGGAGGGTGTCTGGGGATGGGGGGTCCCACGGGGACTGAGGAGGGTGTCCGGGGACGGCGGGTCCCCTCGTGCGGGCCCCGCGCGCGGCAGCCCCGCGCTCGCTCCCCGCCGCGGGACGGGCCGGGCCGGGACGGGAGGTTCGGCCCGGGCCCGCTGCCCGGCGCCGCCGCGAGCGCCATTGTCCGCGGCCACAATAGCCGCTTTGTGCGGGCCGCGACAGCGCCGCCCGCGCCCCGAGCGCCGCCGGGGGGAGAGGGGGGCACGAGGGGTCCGGAGCTGCCCCCCCCGCCCCGGTGCTCCCCCCCCCGGCCCCGCGTTACCCCCCGCCGGTGCCCGCGTTACCCCCGCGCCGCCTCCTCCCCGCCGGGAATCGAAAGCGAAAGCGGCGGCGCGGCCCGGCGCGGCCCCCCCGCTCACCATGGTGAGGGCAGCGGCTCCGGGGCCGCCGGTGCGCGGTGGGCGGCGGGCAGCGGCTCTGCGGCGGGCGGCGCCGCCGCCGCTTTCATAGCGCGGGGCCCCCCCGCGCCGCGGCCCCGCCCGGGGGCTGCGCGGGGCGGAGCTGGCGGCGGAGCAGGGGGGAGAGCGGGGGGGGGGGGGGCAGAGCCGGATCCCCCCCCCAGCCCTCGGGACCCCCCGGGCCTGGGCACCCGCTTAGGGGGTGGAGCCGGATCCCCCGGCCCCGGGGACCCGCCTGGTCCTGGGGACCTGCCCGGGGGGGCAGAGCTGCCCCCCCCCAGCCCTAGGGCCCCCCCAGCACTGGGGAATGTCTGGGGGCAGAATCACTCCCCCCCCAGCCCTAGGGACCCCCCCCCCAGCACTGGGGACCTTTCCAAGGGGCATGGCTGCCTCCCCCCCCAGCCCTAGGGACCCCCTGGTCCAGGGGACCCTCCCCGGGGGCAGACCCGGATTCCCCCCACCTCACCCTGGGGACCTTTCCAGGGGGCAGAGCTGCCCCCTCCCACCCCCACAGTGGCCTGGGGGACCCTCCCTGCTCTGGGGACCCTCCTGGGTCCCTTCTCCGCCCCCCTGCTTGCCCCTTCCCGGGGACGCTGCACCCCCTTCCCGGGGACCCTGCCCCTTCCCCTCGGCTGCCCGGCCCCCCCGCAGCGCCCGGGTTCACGGTGGGGCACGGGGGCCCCACGGCACGCAGGGAGCTCGGCTCGCGCGGCCCCGTCGCTGCAACGTTTAATTGTGTGGCCTCGTTCCCCACGCGGCGCCGCTTCACTCGGGGGCAGCCGGGCGCTGCTCCGCACCGGCGCCTGCCATTTCCCCCATGCCCGGCTCCTCCTTTTCGCCCTCGCTGCTCTCGCTCTGCTCGTTTGCTTGTTCGGTTCCCTCGTCATCATTCCCGGGCTCCTCATCGTCCCACTTGGGCTCCTCATCATTGTTCACAGGTTCCTCGTCGTCCTTCTTGGGCTCCTCCTCGTTGTTCCCGGGTTCCTCCTCATCGTTCCCGGGCTCCCCTTCTTGCCTCTCGTTGCTCTGGCTCTCTATGCTCAGCTCGCTGCCCTCGCTTTCCTCCCGCTCCATGTTCCTCTTGGAGCTCTCCTCTGTGTTCTCACTGCTGTAGTCATCATCTGGGAGGAAGAAAAGTGATTTTAAACCAAACTGCAGCCTGGCTGCTCGCTAGGGCACGAAAGAACTCCCAGTCTCCCTTCCCACAGGCAGGAAACTCTATTTTCTGTCCCACAGGACTCCCTTTCCTCGTGATGGACCAAGTGGAGCTGCAGGACCTGGGGAGCAGCAACAGCTGCTGGGTATCGGCAGGAACCAGCCTGGAATCCCGGACGGTGACAAAACGACCACGAGGTAAAGCCACGTGTGGAGGTGGCAGAGGGACACGTCGGCCCGGGGCTGCCCCTCGCTACTCGCAGCTCTGAGGGGTTTGTGCTGCTCCGGCTGAGCTGGGCGCTTCCTGCACCTGCAGCGCACACGGATGCGGCCGCAGGAGCCGGAGCAGGTCCCGCTGCAGCCTCTGCTCCCTGCGGAGGCTTGGGAGCTGCTGCCACCTCCTGCTCGGCAGGGACAGAGCCTCGAGCCCAGCGGCGCTTTGTGCCCGCTCCTGTGCCCCAGGAGAGGGAAGGGGGGATGTCTAAACATACCGGGTGCAGAGGATAACAACTACCTTTAGGGGAATCCGCTGTCATCTCTCTCTCTTTCAGATCTTTGATGAAGCTTTTGCTCACATCGTTCAAGGCCTGGAAGTGAAACGGTTCATTAAAAAGGGCTTTAGAAATGCAGTTACAGATCTGTCCGAGCTCGTTTTCTTTTGATTTCTGTTAGCAGCTGAATGCAGAGGAGACTCCACTGTTTTCTGAGAGCGAAACCCTTGCCCCAGGGAGGCCAAAAGAAATTTTTCCCTTGGCCAAAACGGCGCCAGGACTTCACCATGCTCACAAACAGGGATTCACAAACAGGGATTAAGTTTTCCAAGGCAGAAAGCTTCATATCTTTTGGTGCGTAAACTACTTCAGAGACTGTATCCTCCCCCTGCAACTACTGTACATAGTTACAGGTAACTTTTTGAGGCTTCCCCAAGCTTCTCTCCTCTTTGCAAGGTGCCACTTACAATAATGATGGCCTGCTGAGCATCATCGTTGTGGATGAGCTTTGCCTTCTCAAGGGCTTTTTCAAAGTTGATGATTGCAGCCTGGTAATCCTTTAATTTTACTGTAAGAAACAAACAAAACATCGATTTTAACCCAGGATCACAAATGAGAGAAAAGCAACAGGTTAGTTAAGAAAATCTACTATGAAAAGTTTTATCTGAACAGTTAAACCATGGAGTTGTTCTCATTAAGATGGTGAGCAGAGAGGTTGTCTCCATCCTTCAGGTGAAATTCATGCTAAGGTCTCTACCTTGTGCTTGTGCCACCAGCACACTCGCATTGAGCTGCCACTCGACATCTCCCTCCTCATCCGCCGACTGCCAGGACTTCTCTCCGTAACTCCGGGCTTCTTCGGCTTGGTTCAGTTCAAGGTAACATCGGCCAATTTCATGGAACAGCCAGGTCTTCTCCAGGCTGGACTTTGCCATTGGAATCTTCTCCTCCCAACTTTGAGAATAAGAGAGAAAAGATTTTACTAAATTTCATTGTAATTTCAGTTACAATTTCAACTGTTGTTCTATGAACAAAAGCTTCCAGATGCTACTAGGACGAGAAGTTATTCTACACTGAGAGCTGCTAAGTATTGAGAAGAAGGCTCAGTAGTAAAATCTGGAGAACTCCAGACTGTGGATGGGTTTTAAGACCATTGCTGACTATATTCCTGGTTGGAATGAGGGTGCAATCAGTATTCTCTGGATAGTCAATAGGCACCAGAAGCAGCTGGATTTCACAGATGTTTTTTTCAGTCATCCTTGCTAGAGTCTATTTAAGGAACCTGAAAAGAAAGCATCTAAAGCATCTATTTAATTTACCTTCTTTTTTTTTTTTTTTTTTCCTATAACTAATTTTACCTACGTGTCGATAGCTTGCTGGAATTTGCCGATTCTGGCATAAACTCTGCCGATGTTATCGAGGGCTCTGGATATGGCATCTGGCAAATTGCTGCAATGAAAAGAAAAACAAATCGCAATAGCTAAAACAGTCTCGTACTTAATGCAGTCTGCATTTTCTGCAGTCTTACATATTTTCTTTGGTGACGAATGTGACAGCTGGGGAAGAGATGAGGAACCGAGGTAAAGGCCAACACCAGTGAAAAAGTCATAAAAAATAAGGTAGGCATAAAAAATAAGCGCTCTGAGGGAGCTTTTCCCCTCTGCTAAAAGCAGCTCCTTTTAAAATAATGCAGCCTGCGGAATTTAAAGTCATTTATTCCTTATTTAAAGTAATTTATCCCCATGTTCAGAAGTGGGCTGCTTTGACTGCCCTTATCTTACAAATGAAAAAGCTGATGAAGGAAGAGAGCAGACGCGTTAATGGCCCTGGGCTACGGCTCCTCTGGCCCTTCCCGAACCGCAGCCACCAGAGGGCGATTCCTCCCTCTGTAATTGCTGCATTTCTGCCTCCAAAATATGCCCCTGTTTGAAAAAGTAGTAACGTTTCAGGTCTCCTTCCTGCCTCCCCACTTTCACTTCTTGACCCTGCTTGGTATGGGGCAGTGCAGACCCCCAGGACAGAGGCAGAAGTGTCTTAAAACAACGTTTTTGAAAAAGAAAAATTATTATTTGTGAAAATGATAAGTAACAAGCCAGTCGCATTTTAACTTTCCATTGCAACATCAGCCAGAATGAAAACAAAATTACTTATTCCGAGCAACTATTCTGGGTTTTCCCATGCGCACTGAAAACTTAGTTTACTGATTTCTATGACTATTCTGCTCCAGTTCCTTTTAGCTGAAAGGCTGCAGTAAGTTTTCTGTATGAGCAGGTAACTCATGCCTCTTAGATAAATATTTCACGTGTACCATTGTGGTTTGCGTGTAAATGATTTTAGGAGAAAGCTGCATAAGGATCAGAACCTGAGCTTTCTGAGAAGGAAGTGCAGCTTAAAGTGCTGAGTGTGGGATTTGTGTTCTTGTTTTGCTTTGCTTAAACATAGAATTTGACGTGTCATTTGGGACAAGTCCTTTAAAAATCTGCTTCAGTACCCTTATTTTTAAACAGCAAGGATGGGAAGTTACTAGAGCCAATGACACTTGGGCAGCATCTGAGTGCACTGCCTTGTGAAATGCCCTGCTGGCAGTTCCGTTACCTGATGCTAAAACATCTGAGCAGAGAGACTGTCTTCTGCACGTAGGATTTTTCCCCCTGCACTGGACCTTCTCAGCACTTACTTCTGCCTGGCAAGCTCCAGATCTGTTTGGTGGCTTTGCAGAGCTGCATCCATGTGGCCCATCTCCATCTGAGCGTTCCCCATGCAGTTGTGGAGGTTTCCAACCAGCTCGTTCTTGTTGGGCACCTCCTCGTCGGACCACCCTTGTATCGTCTTCAGCACGTGCTCAGCTTTCTTCAAGCTTTCCTCTGGGGAGCCGCCGGCCAGCACTGGAGATAAAGAGCAAAGTGCTAGTGTGTGGACACAGCAAGATTTGGGAAGCAAGAATTTCAGCAACTTTGGAGGGCTCGGAAGCGGCTTGGGAAGGGTTGCTGCTCTTAGTTCTTGGTGGGCAGCCTGGTTCTGGAGATGAGGAGCTACCTACGGTACTTAGGTTGTATCTCCTCCATTGGTCCCTTGCCCTTTGCTGGTGAGCTGCTGATTGCATGCAGCTGCTTGCAGTGCTGTGGGGACTGGCGTGCAGGCTGGTTCTGCCCTTGCCTGCACCACGCTGTCGTAACCAACCTCAACTGAAGGGCAGTGGTGGCTCAGTTTCTCCTTCCTGGCCTGGCCGGCTTTGAGTTGTTCTGAAAAGCAGTTAGCAAGTTAGCAGAAAAAGATAAGAAAAATAAATGCGTTGGATTCTATACCTCAAAGTACTCCCTTGGGAAAGGCGAAGAACCTAAAAACAGATACTTTCAAAAATGGCCTGGTACCGTTTGTTAGCAATTGCACTGCTTCTGTTGCCCTAATCCGTAACTACTACAGCAACTAGTCACATAAGCCAGTCATGATTTTCTTACTGCCCTCAGGCAGGATACATACACATATCAATGTCTTCCATGCTCTTTGCAATATATCTGGCAACTTCATCGGGTTTTCGCTTCTTGTCTCGGATCCACCTTTGCTGCCTGAGCTTGCGCTCCCTCACCCGGGCATAAATAGGTTTCTGCTGCTGCCAGAATTCGGTGCGTGTGTTCAGGTAGGTGATGCCACCCGAGACCAGGTCCTTTACTTTGATCCCCTGCTTTGTGCTGCTCTTCATCAAGTCTGAAAATACAAGATGGAAGAACCCAGGAGAGGATTAATGTCTGTGCTGAATGAAGTGGCAGTCCAGTGGAGGGAGAGAGCCTGGGAATGTTTAGAGAATCCCAGGAGCTCTGCTCCTCGGAACCAGTGCGGCTTTGGGGAGAGGTTCACAGAATCAGGAATCACAGAGTGGTTCAGGTTGGAAGGCACCTCTAGAGATCATCTAGTCCAACCCCCTGCTCCAGCAGGGACATCCAGAGCACGGGGCACCCAGTCACATCCAGGCGGGATTTGGAGACCTCCAGAGCAGGAGCCTCCCCAGCCTCCCTGGGCAGCCTGTGCCAGAGCTCTGCACACTCACAGTGAAGAAGTTCTTCCTCATGTGGAGATGGAGCTGCCTTGGTTTCAACTTATACCCATTGCCCCTTGTCCTGTCACTGGGCCCCACTGAGAAAAGCTTGGCCCCTTTGTCTCTACATTCCCCCTTCATGAACTTATCCACGTTAATCAGATCCCCTCTCAACCTTCTCTTCTCCAGAGAAAACAGGCCCAATTCACTCAGTCTCTCTTCGTATGAGAGATGTTCCATTCTCTTAATCATCCTGGTTGCCCTAGAGAGAGGTTAGAGAAAGTGGCTCATGTTTTGCCCATCTGTGGCAAAAACATGTAAAACATCTGTGTGTTTTAGAGAGCTGGAGCTGTTGTTCCCAGCTCCCAGAGCTGCCTCCCTGCGGACAGAGGTGAGAAGAGGCCTCCCTACCTGGAGCCAGCTGGGGTGAGTGAGCACAGCCCTCCAGGACGGAGCAGCTCCACGGGAAGCCGCTTCCCTGGACAGACCCATTTGTAGTTAAATGGCACTTGGACCCAATAAAGTGTGTGGGCTAAATTGCAACAGAAATTGAGCAGGCTCTTACATGCCTGGAAATCAGATAGCCCACATACGGTGTTACTGTTATTAATAATATAAAAACTGCCAATAGACTAGATCTTTAATCATTCTTCTGTTATTGGGTAAACGGTTTCCTAGAAAAAAAAATGACTATATGAGAATCACCTCTGTACCAAGTTCAAAAATATGATCCTTGCCTGAATCCTGCATCTTAATTTTAACAGCATTTATAATGAAACTGAACAGGCGTGATCTTATTAGCAGTATAGTGCGCTTTTTTTTTTTCTCAGGAATGAAATCATTTGTAATTACACGGTTTCTGCTTTTGATTTCACCAGCACAGACCGCTTTGAGTTGATTTGCTGCTAAACTGTCCATTGGAAAAAGCTGCTATTTCATTAGGAAGGAAGCATGTTACACACAGTCATGAAAAAGGGACCTGGCTGTGGAGTTACTGTACTCTCCACACATCTCAAGACCACTGGATCGTTGTGTGATATGTGAGCCGGGATGCAAATAGGGAAGAGCAGCCACAGGATATAAAAGAAGGGGGAAAAGGATCAAGAAACTGCACGGAAAGCAATATTTAGTTAAATACATTGGAGAAAGACCTTCATCCTTGAGCAGCTTTTCTAGGAAGGCCTTGTCAGCATAAAGCTCTCCAAGAAGCTGTCGCTCTGTTTGTGGTTTCCTCACACGCTCCTGTTTGCTCGCCCGCTTCTGATCCTTGGTCAGTTTGATTTGGAGTTTCTGTTGTGCTTTTCTGCTCTATAGCAATGAAGAAAATCAAGTAAGTCAGGGGAGACAAGGAAGGAGTGTTAGCATCAGGAGGAAAGGCCTGGCTTTTAGAATTCTCCTTACACTCTGTATAGGTCTAAATATTTTTTAAGCAAAAGCAGCAAGTCAGGCCAATTGCTTTAGTTGTGAGCAATTGAAATTTTGAACCCCAGCGTGCCCCTGCACTTGCAGGAACAGGAGGGGCGTTGTAGGAAGAGCTGCTGTCTGAGCACAGTGTCTCCCACTGTCCTAGAGGGCTTCCTGGCCAGCACGGTGGGCGCCCGCTAACCCTGTGGGATTGGCAGGGCTCGGTGTCCCCAAAGAAAAAGAGGTCTTAACAGCCAGGGCTTCTGAGAGTATTTATAAAGCTTCCTGGGCAAAATTCCTGCAATTACAGTACCTATCTTTAGCCTCCTTTGTAGAAATTACTGTAACCACTGAGTACCCGTAATTGCAGGTGAAAGAAGGGACGAGCATTCACGGCAGCGACCTGGAAGGGAAGAGCATGCGTGGAGGAACAAGGGGCTCCCGCAGGAGCCACCTATAAATTAAGCAATGGAGAAAGTGCCACGATCAAAAATGTGAACCTTACACGTCAGGTAAAACCAAAGTAAATAATATAGATAAATGTACCCTGGCTCTGATCTCAGTGCTGTTACTTATTACCTTTTGCTGGGCGATCTCCCTTTAGCAACACTCAGGCTGGGAGAGCAATTTGCTTCTCCTTGGTTGCTCTTCCCTGCCTTTCTGCCTTCTCCTTTATATTTTGTGTAAACAGAGCCAGAAGTCCATTAAAAACAGGTGCATAAATACTCTCATAAAGGATCAGCATGCTCCCTGTGCTGAGAAAGCTTTGCCAGACCAGCCCTATCCCCGTGCACGTTGCTACAGAAACTATTAATCCTGTAGTGCCTATTTTGCAGAGAACATTAGCATTATAATAACTCTCATTAGCTACCAAAACAAGAGCTCTCCCACTGTACCTCTGCCTGCCTGCTTAAAAAGCAGATGTCCTCATTATTCTCCAATTTAACTGAGGAAGGACCTGCAAATATAAAGAACATATTTGTTAGTGTTTAAGAACTGCAGCACAGAGCTCTAGAAATGAAAATGGCTATAAATGTGCCAGACATGCCTCAAATAAAGCTTTCTACAAATTCTTTCATTTCAAATACAAAGGGATGTCAGTCCCTTAAGCAGGGATTACAGCTCATAAATGCTGATCTCCTCTGGATTTTAATTATTATTTTCTTATGGCGCCGGGAGCTTCCATCCCAATGAGAACTCTGACACAGAAAGATGTTCCATCCTGCCTGGCAGCATTGACAGAAGGATGACATCTTCTTCTAAGGCCTTACAGCTAAGATTTAAAATGGGGAAAAGGCTCAAAAGTATCTTCAGCAACACAGGGAAGTATTTTGAGGCGGCTTTGCACTGATATAATGGCAAAAATCCTATTTCTTTTTCACTGTGCCTCCCCTTTCTGCTGTTCAGAATGCACTCTGGCTGTGCAGGAGCAGCGAGAAGCAGCTCTTTGTCTTGGCCTGGGCAGAAAGAGCAAGAAAAGAGGAGCTTCAAATGCTGCTGTAGCCAACAAGGCAACGGGGCAGGACCAGCGCTGTGAGCAGAGGCGGATGGGGGAAGGCAGGTGCTTCTGAGCCTGCCGAGCGAAGCAGGCTCGGGAAAGCAGCTTTGGGGGTGTGCCCTGGTAACGTGTCTGCATTTCCCAACTATTTAAACATCTGCATCCCCTGCCAACAGGATTCTTTTTTTTTTTTTTTTTTTTTTTTTTTTTTTCTTTTGTTTTTTTTTTGGTTTTTTTCCCCTTTTCCGTTTCTAGGAGCTAAAGCTTCATTAAAAATGGCTCGGTTTTTATCTGTTCGCTGTCTACAGCCCAGATGTTCAAAGCGATTAGCTCGATATATCAAGCTCAGCACACATTTTAACTGAGAATCACAACGATAGCTAGATCTATGGATTAAGCTCAGAAAGCAGCAGCAATGGAGGAAAGCAGCCTAATCTGGCACCTCCTCTGCTTTCCCAAAGGACATCACATAGGAAAAAAGCTCCAGGCTGTGATGCAACCGTGACACGAAGTTAATCCGTTGCACCAAAGCTGGCCTCAAATGTTGAAACTGATTTCACTGAAGGGGAGGCACCTAAAGGCGCTGAGGCGCTGGGTGTGCACACGGTGTGCGCAGGGTGTGCGCAGGGTGTGAGGAAGGGTGTGAGGCAGGGTGTGCACAGCGTGAGCGGCAGGGTGTGCGTGGGGTGTGCGCAGGGTGTGCGCAAAGTGTGCGCAGGGTGTGCGCAGGGTGTGTGCAGGGTGTGCGCAGGGTGTGAGCAGGGGGTAAGCAGGGGGTGCAGCCGGGTGTGCGTGGGGTGTGCAGGGTGTGTGCGGGGTGTGCGCGGGGTGTGCGCGGGGTGTGAGCAGGGTGTGCACAGGGTGTGCACAGAGTGTGCAGGGTGTGTGCGGGGTGTGCGCAGGGTGTGCGCAGGGTGTGTGTGCGGGGTGTGCAACAGGATGTGTGCCGGGTGTGTGGCAGGGTGTGCGGCATGGTGTTCGGCAGGGTGTGCGCAGGGTGAGCGGCAGGGTGCGTGCCGGGTGTGCGGCACGGTGTTCGGCAGGGTGTGCGCAGGGTGAGCGGCAGGGTGTTCGGCAGGGTGTGTACGGGGGGTGCGCGGGGTGTGCGGCAAGGTGTGTACAGGGTGTGCGACAGGGTATGCGCAGGGTGTGCAGCAGGGTGTGCGCAAGGTGTGCGCCGGGTGTGCACAGCATGAGCGTGGTGTGTGTGCAGGCTGTGGGGCAGGGTGTGCACAGTGTGTGCAGGGTGTGTGCGGGGTGTGCGCAGGGTGTGCGCAGGGTGTGCGCGGGGTGTGTGCGAGGTGTGCGGCAGGGTCCGTGCAGGGTGTGTGCCAGGTGTGCAGCACGGGGTGCTCAGGGTGTGCCCCAGCTCCTGCAGGAACAGGCGGGAAGGGCTCCCGACCAGCTCGGCGGGTCGGGCAGCAGCCTGGCTGGGCTGCATGTCGCGGCAGCGCTCATCCGCGTGGGAGAGCAGCACCCGGGAAAAAACCCCGGGATAGGGACAGGGTTGGCTGTGCTCTGAGCATCGCCAGGTCCTTGGCCTTTGCTGTCTCCTGCAGGACAGAGGGCTGGGAGCTAAGCCAGGAATTAGGAAAGCCGTGCTTAGTTGCTCCACTGTGATCGTCAACAGTTTCACTGCTCTTATGCAATGTAAACTGGAGGAGGATCAGGATCTTGGAGCGGTCGCCCAGGAAGCAGGGCGAACTCCACGGAGAAGTTTTAATGTGGGGAGAAAGATCTCCAAATGGAAAAAGATCTCCAAATGGATTCTATGGTTTGATTATGGAAAGATCTCCAAATGGATTCCATTCTATCTCATTTGGATATAGGTTAGGAGCAGAAAGATGAACAGTCGAGCATTAGGTAGATGTGCTGCTTTCTTCTGTATTGCCTGGAATATTCTTGTGCTGGCTTTAGAAATGCAGTAACCAAAATTGTGCCAGGTCATAATTTACGGTCATAACTGAAGTTATTACATATTATGTATGAATAGGCACTCTGCCTGCCCCCATAAAAAAACCCAAACCAAGAACAGGGCTGTGCCCTGCTTGGCGGTTCCTGTCTTCGACTGAGAGGAGCTACTGAGAACGTGGACGCCAGAGCCAGGAGGCTCCAGCACTGCCAGGTCCTTTGGGGCCAATACAGCCCCAGCTCCAAGCGGGCAGCGTGTGGCTGTGCCTGTAAGGGCAGCTCTTACTTCCGATGCAGTTCACAATGGCCTCCTGGCACTTCTGGATACCCAGTCTGAATTTCTGTAGTTCTGGACGAAGTCTGTAGCCTCGGTGATAAAACACGAGTGCAAATTCAAAGTCACCCATGGTGTAGAGGGTCTCGGCTTTTTGGTAAAGTCCCTGAAATGACAGTTAATAAAGAGGCCACTGGACAGTCCAGTACCTTTCCTGCCAAGCAGAAGTGAGTTTCTCCCCAATGCCCAGAGCTCCACACAGGCGACAGCCCTGTCTTTGCCCCCCACCCCCCGCAGACTCTCTCACCCCATCGTGCTCTTTACCTTGGAGAACGTTTTGTCATTTTGCAGAGAGGCTTCCGCGTCCTTCAGGGAATTCTCCGTGTCTCCAAGTTTAAGGTAACACTTTGAGCGAGCAACGAGGCACTGCCTGTCACCGGGCCGCAGCAGCAGTGCCTGGGACACGGGAGGGACACGGATGGGACCTGCTCCAGGGCTGCGTGGGGCTTGGAGTCACCTCCTCGGGCCCTGTCCCCTCTGGGGCCATCTCCTCAGCCCGTGTCCATCCTGAGTCACCTCCCCAGGCCCTGTCCCCCCTGGGGCCACCTCCCCAGCCTGTGTCCCCCCGGGACCACCTCCGCAGGCCCCGTGCCGTGGCGGGCACCCCCGGGCAGTCCCCACGCACGTTGGTGAAGCAGGGCAGCGCCTTGTCGTGCTCGCCCCGCCGGACCAGCAGGGTCCCCTCGGCCACGAAGCTGGGGAAGGTGCCGGGCGGCACCTCGGCCGCGGCCTCCACCATCCCGCGGCCCGGCCTCGCGTCGCCGTCGCCGCCGTCGCCTGGCAACCGCCGCCTGGCAACGGCGGCTTCCGGCCCCGCCCCCTAGGCCGTGTGGTCGCCGCTCCGCCCCGCCGCGGTTTGGGCGCCCCCTAGCGGGCGGGCGGACGGGGCTGGGGGGGGTCCTGTCCCGCGTGTCCGTGTCCCCGTGTCCCCCTCCCCCGCAGTGTGGTTTGCGGACCGTCCTGCCCCGTGTCCCCGTTTTCCACCCCCGGCAGCCTGATTTGGGACCATCCTGCCTCGTGTGCCTGTCTCCCCTGGCAGCGTGATTTGGGACCATCCTTTTCCACGTCCCCGTGTCCCCGTGTCCCTCAGCACTGTGATTTGGGGACCATCCATTTCCACGTCCCC